CTGCGGTGGGGCTGCGGGTCACCCTGGATGAATGGTGGTTTTTTGGGCCACAGAGTGGGAGCGGCGTGGGCGGCCGGCGGCACGCGAAGAGCTCAGCCCACTTTATTATTAGCTGCAAACAAAGTAGGAGGTTTATTTTGCTAACCAAGCGCCCGGCCCCGGCTCAGCTCGCTGGAGCCAAACCCCATCCCTGACCTTCCTCTCGCCGGCCGGAGGAAACGGGAGCTTTTTCCAGCCCTGTGCGTCATTCCCTGCCCAGCCAGCCCCGTGCTAAGCACTGCCGGCAGTGGCCAGGCGTGTCCCCTCCTCCCCAGGGCACTGCGAGCATCGCCTTCAAGGATGGAGGGCCATTCTCCTCCAGGGACACCCCACAAACATCTCCAGGGATGGCCCCAGTCTTGCTACCCCGGGGGCTGCTCCAGGCATGGGGCTGTGACACTCACAGTGCGGATGAGCAGGTCTGGGCACGGGGAGGTGACGACGGCCGAGCAGTGGGCACACAGGAGGACAAGCACCGCTGGCCGGGTGCAGCCACCAGCTCGCGGTGTGACGGACACCTTCAGTGGGAAGGCAGAAGCCTGCGGAGGGGGGAAAAGGGAGAGCATCACCACCGCGGTCACCGAGCCCCAGTTACTGTCACCTACCTGGCTACCCCCTGGCCACCCCACCTGCCCCCAGAGATGGAGGCAGCAGGGAGAGCCCTCCGGCTCGTCCCCAGCACGTGCTGTGCAGGATGCTGCTGTGGCTGGGAGCAGGTTGGGGGATGCAGAGATGCCACATGGATGTGTACCCACAATGCTGGGGGCAAACACCCTCCAGCTCCCCCGAGGGCATTCCCAGCCTGGGGATGGGAGCATTCCCCATACTGGGGTCTAGGGCACTGGGGACTGAGGCATCCTTGCGTCAGGGACTGGGTAGTCTCTGTACTGGGCACCAGGGTGTCACCCCACAGTGGACTGGGGTGTACCTGCAGCAGGAACTACAGCATCCTCACACTGGGGACTGGAGTGTCCCCACACTGGGGTCAGGGCATCCCCACCCCGGGCACTGGAGTATCCCCACCAGGGTGTCCCCCCACTGAAGACTAGAGCATCTCCACCCCAGGACATCCCCCTGCCAGTTTCCCAGGCTGGTCCCAGCACTGTGCAGCCTCTCCAGGCTCGGGACCAGCTGTTCTGGTGTGCAGGGATGCTGGGGGCACAGCGGTGGCACACACTGCTCCCCATGGCCAGCGCTGCCCGGCAGCCTCCCGCTGGAAATCCGGATGGGGAAGCTGAAACGCCAGGCACTAAGCTGTTTCAGACTCATAATGTTCCTCCTCAGCTGGTTCGTGCCTGTGGCTGCCTCCCAAGCCCATGTGCCACCTCCATTGATGGCAACACTGCTCGATCTGACTTTCCCAGATCTGATCCCATCTCAGCTCAATGCCCTTTTGGAGGCACCTGTCCAAGCATGCACCAGACAACATCTCTTTGAGACACTTTTCCCCTCCTTGCCCTTGCTCTTAACCAGACCACCCTCCTGCATAGACCACTGATGTCCATGGAGAGCAGGATGCTGACAGACCATCTGATGACTGTGGACAGTGCTGCAGATTTGGGGTGACCCCAGCAGCAGGACAACCTTGGGCTGAAGACGGGGGCTTTGGTGGGGAGCAGGGCTCAGCAATAACGCATGGCACAAAGCTCCCCATGGCTGTGGCCGTCTGTGAGCCCAGCACCTCCTCCAGCCTCTCACCTGTCTGTTGCAAACCATATCGACACGGACAAACTGACAGTTAGGACTGCTGCGTCGAATATGGGGCATGTCAATCCATAGGTACAGATGCCACCTGTGAAAAGAGAAGCAAATCTTCAGGTTTTTTTGGTTTTAGGGTTTTTTCCAAGGCTTTGCATGCACACAAAGGCTTCCCATCCCCTGCCACCCACACTCCCCCCCAATCCTCCTTCCCATTTCGGAGTTAGAAAGCCAGAAGTGATGTTGCTCTGTTTTGCTCCAGGATGCGGTGAAGCTGCGCCAAAATTGGGTGCTGGGTGTGCTGGGGCCCAGCTGGCGCGAGAGGAGCTGTGCAAACCTGTGAGCCGGTGCACACTCACGTGCTGGTGCAAATCCATGCACCAGTGCCCACCCACTCACCAGTGCAACCCAGCACTGGATGGAGCCCCAGCCCCACCGCTGCTCTGCGCCCATCCTCACCCGAAAGCTGCCCGGGGCACCCACAACGTGATTATCGCCCCTCGGCAGGCCGTGCAAATGCTGGCAACCAGGTTTCCGCTCGCTTGGCCGCCTTCAAGTGATGTGCCTCCCTCCATCCCTCCCCCATCCCTCCTTCCCTCCTGCCATCCTGCCCTGGCATGGTCCCCATGGGGTGCCCGTGGCTCTGCTCTGCTCCTGAACCAGGACCAGGCCACCTCCCCAGAGAAACAGGGGTTCTTGGGACATCCAGCGCAGGGACAGCGTGGGCTGTTGGAGAAGTTGCCTCTAAATCCCCATTGGGGCCACAGACACCAGTGGCTGCGCTGGGACGAGAAGCTCAGCAAAGGCACCATGGAAGAAGTTAATCTGGGTCCTCTCGCTGCACCTTAGTTTGACAGCCGGGATGCCCCGCTCGGCGGGGACAGTGCCAGGGTGACAGTGCCGGGGTGACGCACCAGGACCCCGTTTGCTCACCTTGGACCACTCGACGCTGAGGATGTGAACTTCATGGCCGGTGCCCACAGAGCCGCTGCTAACGCAGCCCCGCGGCACTGTGCTGGTGGCGTAGGACAGGGTGATGGGTGGCTCCGCCGTCACCGGCTGCAAGTCACATCCCTCAGCTCTCCCGGGGTCTGGGCGGAAAACAAGAGACCGTCAGTCCCTGCTGCACAGACGTAGGGACAGGGAACGTGGGGTAACGCGACATGGCGGGGGGGACGGGAC